GTGTATTCATTGCAGGCTGCACCTCCACATTAACGGCTGCAATTGGCTTGGATGCATGTGAGTTAGGGGCACTCCTGAAGCTCCTTATCAGTCACATCCTTGGTTGGGAAAAAATTGGATGCCAATCAAAATAGTTTATCCATGGCAAAAGTATTCAGGCTCATCAATAATTTGATTTGAGAGAATCTCTTGGCAAATTAAGTAAATAATAATGAGCATCTTTTCTATATTGGGCTCCATCAAGGTGTTTTAGTCACTAACGAGCTCTCAAATACAAAACTATATTTTTTTGCACTAGATAATTCCATTTGTGGGTAATGAATTGGCTTGGGTGTACAGAAGATGAAGCTCCGCCCTCTAGCAAACAGAATATATATCAGCCCTCCTCATGTATTGTATTCAGCCATTCCTTCTACTGCCTGAGCTAGCGTAAGCTGATTCTTTCAGTCACTGAGGCAAGGCTGTTTTTGGAAGCTCAAAATCATTGATTCTATTTCCCCAATGTGACACAGGCTGGCTAGCAAGCACAGAATCTGCATTATGCAGCTGCTAATGGGGATAAATTGGTACCCCACCACAGCAGTAAAAATATCATTACTGGAGTAGCTTTTTAAGATCTGTTTGCTCCGGTAAAAGACAAGAGGATTTCTCATCTCCATGTAACAAATAGGAAGCTCTGTACTGAATCTTTAGTCACCTTTTGAAAGAAGCACGCAAACATTTCTATAAACTTCTTCATGCAGTTCACTTTTCCGGCTAGGTTAGGATATTGATTTGATACCAGAGATTCTTAGCTTTGTGTGACGCTGTATGGAATATGTGGAATACTTTATAATATTGTTAATAGCAATATTATAAAATTGCAAGGAATCTGACCAGATATGACACATGGTATCTGTTAAAATGTTATGATTGGCCAAGTAAGTTAATCTTGTTTATATGTTTGTATCATCTTTTTATTGTGAGTTATAGATATGTATGGTATATCCATATTTCAAAACTTGTGCTGTGTTTCTGGGTGACACCCCCAGACAGATTGGCATCAGCACTGCCTAGCCTGTCATCAGTGGTACAATGAAGCCATGGAAAGGAGCCTGGGGATACATGTTGTGAGTCAGCAAGACATGTAAGGGCATGCCTGTGGACAGAGAACTCCAAGGCTTTTCCATGCCATGTGCTGTGAAGCTTGTGTCTGGACAAAGGAAATACAAGCCACATGGCAAAAGAATATAAAGAGTAGCTGCATCTTCTCCATTTTGTCTTCGTTCCTGCTTCTTACCTCTGGAGTCACTTTTCTACAAACGAAGCTCTGAACAAAGGACTGAATAATATAATATAATAATAATATATGGAGATATACCTATTTCATAGAACTGGAAGGGACCTTGAAAGGTCATCAAGTCCAGTCCCCTGCCTTCACTAGCAGGACCAATTTTTTTTTGTCCCAGATCCCTACATAGCCCCCTCAAGGATTCAACTCACAACCCTGGGTTTAGCGGGCCAATGCTCAAACCACTGAGCTATCCCTCCCTCCTTGAATGACCCATCCAAGCTGTGGATGTGTTCCAGAGGGACTTTCAGCCAGTGAACTCACCAACACTGCTAAGAACCTGATAGATGGACTTTGTAGTCTCATGTATGTACCCAATTGCTTTACCATTTAACAACTCTCTTCTTGTTCTTTTTTCTTTATAATAAACCTTTAGTTTTAGACACTAAAGGATTGGCTGGCAGTGTGGTATTTTGAGTAAGATCCAACCTAATATTGACCTGGCAATGTGGCTGCCCTTTGGGGTTCAGAAGAACATTTTGTATAGTGAGCAGAGTTTGGGTAGTGAGCTGGGAATGAGTGACAGGGGATGGATCACTTGATGATTCCCTGTTCTGTTAATTCCCTCTGGGGCACCTGGCATTGGCCACTGTTGGAAGACAGGACACTGGGCTAGATGGACCTTTGGTCTGACCCAGTGTGGCCATTCTTATGAGCCAGGTTCGAACCAGCAAACAAACAAAACTCCTTTCACTAGTTCTTGGAGCTACTGTGCTGTCTGACAGCAGTAGAGTGTTTGTCCTCTGAATGTATATGTCCTGTGTCCTTGTTTATGATTTATTCAATCATAAAACTACATTTTTGCAACACAAAATACAATACAGAATAGGCATAAAGATACCAACTACTGGAAAAGTTGATCTGCAAACCAGACCATTAGAGTCCAACACTTTAGGTTGATCTCTTACCTGTAGATATATTTTTAAAAGACTCACCTTTCCCTCAGATCTTCTGCACATTCATCACAAGGGAAAAACTTGGAAAATAAGTTAATGAACTGTGTCATATCTTGCTGCTGGGAATTGCTTGGGTGATCTGGGTAATATGCTGCCATAGTGTGAAGGAAAGACCATGTGTTTCTCCCAAGTTCTTCTCTGTCCAGAGGACAATCTGGAGGCTTCTCCTTCTCCTCTTCAACATATGCTTCCTGGGTCAGAAAAATAAGAGGGTTATATGTGCACATTAGTACTCAGGATAAAAAATGAACATATCTTACACTAACCCCATATGCTTTGTGTTTCTAGCACACCTTCAATTCAAGGCCTACACAGATATTAGCTAATTAAACCTCCTTTTAAATGAGGTGGACAAATATGATTACTCCCCTTTTTGTTGATGGGGCACAGGGAGGTTAAGTAATTTGCCTATAGTCTCATACTCCTTCTGTCCATCAACCGTGGCCTGAGAAGGGGAGGTCTTAGGTGTGGGGGTGTCTCATTCCTACCCCCTGTCAACCATAGCCTGTGAAGGAGAGTTCGGGTTGTGTGTGTGTTTCATTTGGACTCCCCCGTTAACCATTGCCAGTGAAGGACTGTGCTGGGGGGCTGCGTGGGGAGAGGTTCTCATTCGTACTCCCCCATTAACCATTGCCGGTGAAGACAAGTTTTTTGGGGGGGGCTGGGTGTCTCATTCATATCCCGCCATCAACTATTGCCTGTGAAAGGGAGTCTCATTCCTATCCCCATCAACCATAGCCTGTGAAGGGCTGTGCTGGCGGGGTGGGGGGTTCTCATTCATACTATCCTGTAAGGGGAGTCTTGGGGAAGTGTGTGTCTCACTCATATGCCCCCCTCCATCACTGAGTGAGGGGGAAAGGGGGCTCACTCCTACTCCCCTGCCAACCATTGTCTGTGGGGAGAGGGATTCTGGAGAGGGGTCATTCCCAGGGGGTGGGGAACTCGTGAAGGGAACCATCCTCCCCCTCGCGGCGGGAGGGGCAGGGGGATCGCTGGGGCTCATGTCTCCTCCCAGCCCCTCCCGCGCTGGGGAGCGGGGCGCTGCTCCCCGGCCGCCCCCTCACCCCGCTCGGCGAGGCCGTCTGCTTCCGTTGCTCCCGGATCCAGCTCCTGAAATCCGTGCAGGCCCGGCACGGCTTCTTCCGGGGCTGCTGCTCCGCCCCGGCGCCGGGCGGCCCGGGCAGGGGGAAAGGGAAAGGGCCGGGGCCGGCAGACGGGCCAGAAGCCGGGTTTTCTCTAGGCTCACTGGGCGCCGCCATCTTGGAACCGCAATGCATGTTGGGCCGGGTGGCTTTCTTCACCCCCCGCCGCAACTGCTCGCCTGGGGCAGGGGAGGCGGCTGGGGAGAAGGGAGAGGTGCCTCTGAGTGAGGGATGGAGGAGGAGGGAGCAAAGATGAAAGGGAGGAAGAGGTGAAGGAAACAGAAAAGAAAAAAGAGAAAATATTCCCTTGGGGGTTTCCCTTTTCCGCTGGCCTTGGCCCACCCTAGAGCAGCAGCTACAGAGAGTGAAACTGAAATAGGATCGTATCAAAGGGATGTTAGTCTGGATCAGTAGAAAGCAACAAAGAGTCCTCTGGCACCTTATAGACTAACAGACGTATTGGAGCATAAGCTTTCCTGGGTGAATGTCCACTTCATCAAATAGGATAAAAGAATCCGCGGGAGCCTGCGCAGATTTGTCTGTGGTTAGAACCTGAGCAGTATAGACTGACTGTGAATAACATCCTTGCATCCATTTCTTGCCATAGGTGAAAAACATAAAATAGTCTCATTTACAAAATATTGGTTATCCAAGTTTTAGACAGGGCTACCCAAAATGGCTGAAGTTTGAAATTTGGTTTGGATGTGATGCGCACTGAGGCTTTGTGCCTTTGCTTGGTTTAGAAGAAAATAAAACTGTTTTGAGCATGTACAATACAGCATAACCATGTACATCCATGTTTGTAGTTAGCAGGGAGAGACCCATGTTTAAGTTTTTAAACAAAAATGTTACAGTCCCCCATGTTCTCAAAAACTTAATTGAGGCTAAAGGTGATTTCATTATTCCAGTCCCCATTAATTGGTCTGAGATACTGGCATCTCTGAGTAAAGGAAACAAAAAGATGGAAAACACAACTTAAGGTCATGCTCCTGTGAACATTTATTAACATATTGACATCAGTGGACTTATGGAATATTTAAAGGCTTGATCTGATAAAACTTGTCACAATTTCTGTCATGACTTGTGACCGTGTTCCCATGACAGGCCTAAAGTCCTAGTCTTAGCAGCTACATAATCACTTACAATTGGGTTCTTTCCCTGAGAATTCAGTTGGGGAATGAGCTCTCTGAGTTGCAGGTGAAAATAGGAAGCTTTTTGAGAAAATAAAGACATTTCAGACACATGTACACATATGTTTACTTGTATTGTTTATAATTATATTGCACCAGGTTCAGTTCTTATTGTATTTAAATCATCATAACATCAGTCTTATTTCCAATGGCATCTCCATAAACTAGACACAAGAACCATCTTTCCAGCCCTCTCGCCAGCGTTCATCCATCTGGGAGCAGTCGAACTCGGGTTTGCCCAACATCTTGTTCACATCATTATGAAGCAGGCACATCCACTGGGATAGCTTCTTCCTGTTGCTGGTATCTGGCTTTTTTATGCTTAAACTGCAGAGGTGGAAAAGAATCAAAACACTAATTACTCCAGTCCAGAGTCACTAATTTCACTTGCCAAACGAGGAGTCGCTAAAGTGCTTGCAGAGTTTATAGAGGTGGCCAGAGGCCACCCTCATCTTCAATACAGAAATTGTTCTTACAGAAAATATAGGTCCCATGCTCCATCTTGGTCTGAGCCACCTCAACTCATCAAGGTGAAACACACCACGCAGATTCTTGTATCCTCTATAGTTCATATCTTAATAACTGATAACTCTCATTAATGATGAGGCGTCTGTTCCGTTTTATAGCCCTTCAGGCTCCTGGCAAGTTATTGATGCTAACTCAAGCTACGCAAAGTTTGGATGCCCCCGTTCAAACTGCTTTGCCTCTGCAAAAACCATCACATTCTTGGAGCTCACTAATACTTTAAACTATTCCTATTGATCAGTTCCTTACAGGAGAAACCCTGTTGGCAGATTTAATAACATTTAGCTGATGTGTATTTCGGACTCCTTGTAATTCATTTTTTCAAAATCAGTATCTATGTCTCCAATACAAACCCCCGCCCTCTCCTTGTTGGTTTTGTACATTTGTCCGGCAAGGACTAGGCCTTCATCTATAGTTAGAGAGCACATTTTGAGTGCTATTGTAATCATAATAACAATAGTAATATAATACAATTCCCATTGTGTGTAATGAATAGGCTCCAGTTTACAGTAGGTGTAACACTGCCCTCTAGAGGAGGGAATATATACCCGGCTTGCTCAAATGTTTACCGGCTTTCTGCTGGTTAAGCTCGTGGAACTGATTATTTTACTTGCTGGGTAGAAGTTGTTTTTGGAAGCTGAAAGTCACTGTTTCCCCAGCATGACACAGGCTGACTGTATCCACAGTGTCTGTAACAGGTTCTCACGGATTGTGATAAACTGGAACCCATTCAAAAGCACTGAAAACACTGCTGGAGGAGTGCTCTCGGGTCCATTAGCTCCTGTGAGCAACAGGATTCCCCACCACAGAGCCTGCGCTGTCTCAGGAGTTGTGTGTTATTCGTGATATGTCTTATGATGCATTTAAACACAGAATATATCATTTGGGGATGGTGAAAAGGCATCTGCCCCCCTGGGAAACAGGCTGATTTACATCCCGCATTAACAGAGACCAGCACCTGAAGCCAGCTTCCTGCATGTAGATTGTCTTGATGCTTGTCTATATGCAGGGTTGCACTGGTTGAATGTAAGGTGTGATTTTTTTAAACCAATTTAAATGTAAACCAGTGCAAGAACAGGTTTAAACTAAACTTAAATAAGAATATCCAATTAAAGTCTAGCATTGGTTTAGTTCAGGGGTCGGCAACCTTTCCGAAGCGCTGTGCCGAGTCTTCATTTAGTCACTCTAATGTAAGGTTTCGCGTGCCAGTCATACATTTCAGCGTTTTTAGAAGGTCTCTTTCTATAAGTCTATAATATAGAACTAAACTATTGTTGTATGTAAAGTAAATAAGGTTTTTAAAATGTTTAAGAAGCTTCATTTAAAATTAAATTAAAATGCAGAGCCCCTTGGACCAGTGGCCAGGACCCGGGCAGTGTAAGTGCCACTGAAAATCAGCTCACGTGCTGCCTTTGGCACGCGTGCCATAGGTTGCCTACCCCTGGTTTAGTTAAATAGGTGCATGTTTGTGAGCAGACTAGACCTTATTCCACAAGGACTCACCTTTTCCTTAGATTTTTTGCACACTTTACACAAGGATAAAACTTGCTCAATAAATCCATGAACTGAGCCATCTCGTGTTGCTGGGTGTTGCTGGGATGCTCCGGGTAATATGCTGCCATGGTGTGAAGGAAAGCCCATGTGTTTCGCCCCAGTTCTTCTGTATTGAGTGGACAATTTGAATGTTGCGCTTTCTTCTTAACCTGGGGTCAGGAAAACCAAAGGAATTGCAAGCGCATTAAGACGGTGATAGAACAGCCCTTTCCATCAGCTTGCATTTAAATCCGCTTGGTCAGTCTAGCACAGGGGTTCTCAAACTGAGGGTCGTGACCCCTCAAGGGGTCGCTAAGGTTATTACTGGGGGGTTGTGAGCTGTCAGTCTCCACCCCCATACCCTGCTTCACTTCCAGCATTTATAATAGTGTGAAATATAAACAATGTTTTTAATTTATATGGGGGTGGGTCATACTCAGAGGCTTGCTGTGTGAAAGGGGTCAACACTACAGAAGTTTGAGAACCCCTGGTCTAGCACCATATTTAAGGGAACAAACAAGGACATTTAAACTCCAAAACAATATGGATTTATGAGGGAGCCACAGGCCTGGTCTATACCTAAAACTTAGGTCAACCTGGCTATCTCGCTTAGGGCTGTGGGGAAAAAATCACACACCTTGTGTGACATAATTAGGTTGACCTCACCCCCGCTGTAGGTGCAGCTAGGATAATGGAAGAATGTTGCCATCAATCTAGCTATTGCCTCTCCAGGGGGTAGACTCCCTGCCTTGATGGGAAAACCCCTTCTGTCTGTGTAGGAAGCATCTGCACTACAGCGCTACAGAGGGACAGCTGCTGCATTGGGCCGGTGCTGCTGTAGTGTAGACATGTCCTAACATTCCAGTGCTCTTCATGGGGACTCTGAAGACAAAGAAAAATACTTCCAGTACCTAGAAGCCTCATTAAAATGCATTGGCTAGATGAGTTTGTTTGGAGGGTTAGAACTGGGAACACAATAATTTTTCTCCCCAGAAGAGAGGAGGAAATGTTGACCAGGAGTGACTGTGGAGCCTGCAAACTGTACGTACAAGGATGGTTAACGATCACAGGGTTTGTAGCTCAGCCTTAGCTGGGTCATCTATAAAGCTAAGAGCCCCTGCAAGGGTCTGCAAATAAAGTGAAATTAATCTGGCAGTTTTTGAGGACAAATGTGAAATGTCCCAGGAATGGAGGAGGAAAGTGAAGGGAATGGGGTGGGAAGTAAAGAAAAAGGTGAGTGGCCATTTGGTGGGGAGGTGTTTGGGGGTCATACACACTCTCAGAAAGATTTGCATCGGTCATCAGCCATTCTTGAGGTTAGCGGGGTGTGACTTCTAGATATGCAATTGCTATATAGGTAGTTCATGTTTCCCGCATTAGCACTGGCTCTCATGGAAGCGGCCTCTTTTGAATATTACAGAGACAGAACATCTATAGAAGCATGGCATTCTCTCTCTGGATATGGAACGCCTACCTACTTCCCATGTGGGGCCCAGCCTCCAATTCCGGTCCTCCATTGCCACCCACCCATAATCCCCACCAGCCACTCCTTTGGGCTAATCCCTGCCCTCCTTATCAACCTTTCCCCCGGCATCCCCATTATCCCTTCCTTGGGAGGCTGACCTCCCCCACCCATTCCTGTCGGGGAAATGATCCCCCTTCTATCAATTACTCCTCAGGGACCATTTCAGATCCCCCTTCAACCATCCCTATGCGGTGACAAGAAAACTCCCCTTACTCCGTCCTGCCCCGTCCAATTGCCCTTACCCTGGCTGCTGAAACCGAATCCCTCCTCTTCTTGCCCAGGGAGTCTTGGCAGACTGGGCAGTCTTTCCTCTTGAACCTATTCTCGGCCACAACAAATGGGGCTCCCCCGAGGAGACCAGGCAGAGCTCCATCCTCCGGGGCAGGCCAGCTGGACGAAG